TTACCTTTAAGGGGTAATTACTTACAGTTTGCCAATGTTTCTGCACGGTGATTTTAATGACATATTAATGTATACTTTTTAAAAAGCGGACTAGGTTTCTTGGGGTGTTTTTTTTTCTATACGTTTCTGTGATTTTTAAGAGATTCTCAACTGCTTTAGTGCTTATATAGTTGATATTCGATATTTCTACATACAAACGTTATGTGTAACCACTCATTTACCTATAAATGATATTTATATCTTGTGGAAAACTCCAGATCGGAATGCGGATTACTTTCTTTAATCCGTATCCTTTGATCTTTTATGTTTGTAGGTATTTTGTTGGAAACAAGTACTAATTAAAACTTCGTACAGTTATTACTATATAGTGTATCTACCTGAAAAGATGGAATTTCATCTTAAATGATGGAATGTCATCTGAAATATTCCAATAATTAAAACTGAAACAAGTGTTTTCGTGGGAAAGCTGTTTCAATAACTTAATGACAGGTATATTACCGTATTTTATATGCAGGTATATTACCGTATGCATTTGAAGGTATATTACCGTATGTATATGAAGCCACGAGAGGAATCGGAGGAAAGTGTTTCATTGTCAAATATAAATAAGAAGATGTAGTATGAGTGCCAATGAGACAACTATCCATTCAAGTCACAATGTGTAAAAAGTAAACAATTATAGGTCATAGGCTTTTTCCTTATTTCACTGCATTTTTCTAATAAAAGTTCCTAACATAACATAACATAACTTGAAGTTGTCGATAATTATCAACTTTTATTCTAATATCTTAATGTTGTCTGTTTGAATGCTTCCGTTCTTATTTACCATTCACACAAATCAATGACGATTTCCTAGGGTATGTTGGTCTAGATTCATTTATTTAAGAAAGCAGATACATCAAATAATGGTTGGGGTTTTAACATAACTCAACAATAAACAACAATAATCCAAGACATCACATAAACAACTCATCAATGCAACCAGCTATATCTATGTTATCGCATCAACAATTTAACAGTACAACCAGAAAGATCCATGTCATCACATAAACAACTCAACAGTACAATCAGAAAGATCCAGGTCATCATATAAACAACTCAACAGTACAATCAGAAATATCTAGGTCATCACATAAAAAACTCAACAGTACAATCAGAAAGATCCAGGTCATCACATAAACAACTCAACAGTACAATCAGAAAGATCCAGGTCATCACATAAACAACTCAACAGTACAATCAGAAATATCTAGGTCATCACATAAACAACTCAACAGTACAATCAGAAAGACCTAGGTCATCACATAAACAACTCAACAGTACAATCAGAAAGATCCAGGTCATCACATAAACAACTCAACAGTACAATCAGAAAGATCTAGGTCATCACATAAACAACTCAACAATACAATCAGAAAGATCTAGGTCATCACATAAGCAACTCAACAATACAATCAGAAATATCCAGGTCATCACATAAACAACTCAACAGTACAACCAGAAATATCCAGGTCATCACATAAACAACTCAACAATACAATCAGAAAGATCCAGGTCATCACATAGAGATCTCAACAGTACATTCAGAATATGCATTTATATGTTCCGCATTGTGTAATACGTTTATAACTGCGTTTTGAAAGTGTTTACACCATAGTATAATGTCTAAGTTACAGTCTAAGTACATTGGATACGTGTTTCTCGTTTGAATTGTTTTACATTTTGTCATGTCATGCCCTATTATAGCTGTCTATATGGTATAGGTTTTACATTTTGTCATGTCAGGCCCTATTATAGCTGTCTATATGGTATAGGTTTTACATTTTGTCATGTCAGGCCCTATTATAGCTGTATATGGTATAGGTTTTACATTTTGTCATGTCAGGCCCTATTAAAGCTGTTTATATGGTATAGGTTTTACATTTTGTCATGTCATGCCCTATTATAGCTGTCTATATGGTATAGGTTTTACATTTTGTCATGTCAGGCCCTATTATAGCTGTCTATTTGGTATAGGTTTTACATTTTATCATGTCAGGCCCTATTATAGCTGTATATGGTATAGGTATTACATTTTGTCATGTCAGGCCCTATTATAGCTGTCTATATGGTATAGATTTTACATTTTGTCATGTCAGGCCCTATTATAGCTGTCTTTATGGTATAGGTTTTACATTTTGTCATGTAAGGCCCTATTTTAGTTGTCTATATGGTATAAGTTTTACATTTTGTGATGGCATGCTCTATTATAGCTGTCTATATGGTATAGATTTTACATTTTGTCATGTCAGGCCCTATTTTAGCTGTCTTTATGGTATAGGTTTTACATTTTGTCATGTCAGGCCCTATTTTAGCTGTCTATATGGTATAAGTTTTACATTTTGTGATGGCATGCCCTATTATAGCTGTCTATATGGTATTGGTTTTACATTTTGTCATGTCAGGCCCTGTTATAGCTGACTATATGGTATAGGTTTTACATTTTGTCATGTCAGGCCCTATTATAGCTGTCTATATGGTATAGGTTTTACATTTTATCATGTCAGGCTCTATTATAGCTGTATATGGTATAGGTTTTACATTTTGTCATGTCGAGCCCTATTATAGCTGTCTATATGGTATAGATTTTACATTTTGTCATGTCAGGCCCTATTATAGCTGTCTTTATGGTATAGGTTTTACATTTTGTCATGTCAGGCCCTATTTTAGTTGACTATATGGTATAAGTTTTACATTTTGTGATGGCATGCTCTATTATAGCTGTCTATATGGTATAGATTTTACATTTTGTCATGTCAGGCCCTATTATAGCTGTCTTTATGGTATAGGTTTTACATTTTGTCATGTCAGGCCCTATTTTAGTTGTCTATATGGTATAAATTTTACATTTTGTGATGGCATGCTCTATTATAGCTGTCTATATGGTATAGATTTTACATTTTGTCATGTCAGGCCCTATTACAGCTGTCTTTATGGTATAGTTTTTACATTTTGTCATGCCAGGCCCTATTTTAGTTGTCTATATGGTATAAGTTTTACATTTTGTGATGGCATGCTCTATTATAGCTGTCTATATGGTATAGATTTTACATTTTGTCATGTCAGGCCCTGTTATAGCTGACTATATGGTATAGGTTTTACATTTTGTTAAGGCCGTATGGTGACCTATAGATGCTTATATCTACGTTATGTGTTCTCTGGTGGCAATAGTATCTTTATTTTCATATAGTTTATGTATTAGTTGAAAGTGGGCTTTATATTAGCTGCCAGTTACAGTGAGTACTCTTAGATATATTTTTGTTATTGGTTTTTTGTGTCTTTTCCAAATCATTTTTACAGTTTGTTCTTATGATGTGTTGTAACATCACTGACCCCGATAAGTGAGGGGGTTGAGCGCTCGACAATATAATTATCAAACCCCACTACATGTGCCTGGTACAAGCCTAGTGCTTGTCGTTGGTTGCTGTCTGTCGTATTTACTTTCCGGAAACGTTTCACATTTTTGTCATTGGAAATGTTCGTAATATGTGGTAACGATTATTTGAAAATCCATATTATACAGTCCAGTGGATGTCTTAAGTAAAAATAGGTCTTGCAAATCCGATTGAATAGAATTCATTGTCCAATTCTATTGATTTTGCAACATTTGATTCGAAATAAGAATAATGTCTTGTCAAAATCATCTACATCGTATCAGGACCCACCAGAGCACAGGATCAGGACACATTTCAACTGCAAAAATGAACAATTCTAAAATATTTCATTAGGTTTTCTCAGAACGATTAAGTCGTGTGGATTTGGGATTAGACGGTGCACTCCATGAACATTTTTTTTTTGTCTATTTTTCCGTTTCAGATGTTCTAAGAATAAACACTCTTGAGATACACATACTGACGCTGCACAGGACACTTTTATTTTATTTCTTTCCTTTGAAACCCTAAGAAACCAAACTGAAACATCTCAACTATTTCTCTTCATCTGTTATTCAAGAAAATGTAAATAAAGAGCTGCGCTATGAGCGCATGATACGCCCGTCACCCTTTTCAGCTCGTCCTTATGCTTTGAATGAATTTATATGATCAACTAGAAATACTGCGAGCACTGCCCGTAAAGATCCCTCCCCCCCCCCCAAAAAAAATGACATGCACACACAGTGGTACCCATTGACACAAAACATGAATAATTTGGCAACATTAAGAATTCCTCAAATTCAACTGTTTGTTGTCCCGATTTTTTAACAAATAAAATTCTATATCCCTCCAAAGAGTAAAAAATGGACAGTTTTCAACGATTCTCAACCAACAATAAAGTTCCATAACTCCGAAATGTCAATCATTTATAAAAAAAAAAAAAAAAAAAGGAGCTTATTTCAATAGATATTAACAAGTCACTAAAGTTCATGAAAAATGCTCAAAGCTTTTTTGAATTATCGTCCAAAAACTGGAAAATTACCCCTTTTTATGGATAAAGTCCAAATACTCCAAAACGTAAAATCAGAAAATTTTTAAAAATCGAAAGGGAACTTACGTCAATAAATATAAACATTTCACCAAAGTATCATGAAAATTTGTGAAAGATTTTTTTAGTTATTGGTGACGGACGGACAACGGCATACCATAATACGTCCCGTAAACGGGCGTATTAAAATCTATTAAAATCAATTTCGTCTTTGTTTACATATTTTCATCGATCACCAACATCGATCATGACCAGATCACTAGCATGTTCTCACATTCTCTAGCAGGACAGCCAAACCCACCGTGATAAAGGAGTATCGGAAAATCGGGAAAGGTAGAAGGCCTTATTAAAGTTTTATTAAAGAATATACTTATTCACCTTCCTAGTTCGTTTACCTATTAACATATATGTTTACGGTTGGAAAAGACTAATTGCGTACTTCTAATAAACATGAAATAATTGAAATTGCACAATAAAAAGTACAAACAGGATCTCTATTTTCGGGTATTCCCCGATCAATTGATATAAAAACAGTTAGACCTTAAAAATCGTTAAATCTATATATTTCAACAAAGAAACATGAATATTAAAATCGCAGGCATTTTCAACATCATAGCTTTATTGTTGTTGGTTGCTGGGGCTCTGGCTCCAGGCTGGGTAGTATTCGAGCAGTCTTCTGGCAAAGCGGTCCATATTGGACTCTTTTATGCAGTCAAAAATGGATATTCTTCTAGTTTAGCATGTAAGTAAACAATTAACTTAAAATTCAACCTCTTGAAAATACATATATATACATAGGCAAGGAGATATGGTAATGCAAGCCAATGAAAAAGCAACCAAAAAAATATAACCGACAACATCTAGAGAGCAATATACATGTTTTAGATATAAAAAGATGTGGTATGAGTGCCAATGAGACAACTCTCCATCCAAGTCAAAATTTATAAAAGTAAACCATTATAGGTCACAGTACGGTCTTCAACACGGAGCCTTGGCTCACACCGAACAGTAAGCTTGTCTATACAGTTTACATATTCGTTTGTCGTTGTTAACATTCGAGGAGTAATACCACCATTGTTTTTTTTTCCTATTAGTCTTTGTTAAATTGGCACTTTTCAAAAATTTTTGCAGAATTTATCTTTGTTTCAAATAAAGAAATACTTGGCACGGGTAAAGTTTTAACCTGTCCAGTATTACAGACAAAATTTCACATAACATTTCATTGCATATAAGATAATAACCATCACTTACACCCCAGTTCTATTGTTATACTTCATAGTTTCTATTTCTGAAACAAGTGTAAATTGAATAGATCTATTGTTACGAATAACAATGGATTTTGACCACAGGGTGTGACGAGCGGGGTTTCTGGAAACCCCTGCCTCTACATCCCGCAAACAAAGTCCATTGTTATTCGTAACAATAGAAATTGATTATTTTTTAAATAACATAAGAAATTACTAATAGTGTTCACTACAAATTGTTTCATGATATTAAAAAAACACATTTTAGTAAATTCCAATAAGCATCTATATGGAATACAAAAATAATCCTTTAAATACTCTTTTGCTTGAAGGTAATTTTTTTTTATCCCAGTCATATGTCTCTATTCTACAGCATTGATCTTTTAAAAAAAATGGGGATTCTAACTCCAGGACCCCCACCCCCGGTTAACCAGTGGCCGATCCGGGGTTGGGGGTTCCGCGGGTTGGACCCGACTTTTGTTTAAAAGATCAATGAATTTGAATGGTTGGACCCCTCCCCATTTTTCTCTTGAGTTGGGAACCCCCGGCTGGATTAGTCCCTGGTTGCCCCCCAAAAAGGGAGTTCCTCAATTTTAAATATTGTATGTTAAGTGTGTTTGGTAGTCGGGTTTCTAATGCAGACACACCTATCCCTTAGTGTGTTCGAATATGAATGTTTGTTTATTCTCGAGAAGAGGGGGGGGGAGCTTTTGTTTTTGATAAAATCGTAAGATATAAAATACAGTTATGATTACCTTTATTAAACTGATACAGGTAAGTACTTTGGGTTATAATATTGCCTTTATCTTTAGTCTCTTCTACCAAATCCAACGCTTGCCACAAAATGTCGTCCGTCTTATACCCGTCCATATTGACAACTGTATACCAGGAGCATGATGTATTTTTTGTTTGTAATAAGAATACACGAAACAGTCAACCTTGACCTGCTGATCCATATTAGCACATGGATTTAACGGGAATATGCAAAACAACTTTGACATTTGTAAAATATACTCACTTAATTGTCAAAGTTTGAACGAAGATCACCAAAGAAAGGTTACTAGTGGGGTTTCATGTAATACAAAAATATTCTTATAAATCATGGTTTGATATTGTCAATAAATATGCTATCGTTTTTTTTTGTTTTTTTTTTTTTGCATTTAATAATCAATGTTTACAAATATAGGGTTTAGAATGGGGTGTAAGTTAGTTATACACCTCGGGATACGGTGTGTCTGGATAAGAAACCCCTCCGGCCTCTGGCCGACGGGGTTTCTTATCCAGACACACCTATCCCTCGGTGTATAACTATTACTAGAAGTTAACCAATCAAATTTTCACCCCTTTTTTTCCTGTTTACAAGCTTTAGTAACAATGTAACCTCAAGTTTCCAAAATGTTTTATAGAATCACCAAATAAAAAAAGAATGGTGCTTTGAAACACCCAAGATATATGTTTATGACTCAGAAAGATTTTACTGCAATGAAATGTAGGATTAATTTCCTACAACTGTCAAATTCAAGGGAAATTTTTTTTGACCCTTTTTCGTATGAAACCGGATGTGACGTACTATGATTTGGTGGTATTATAACTAAATCGAAAGGATACATTCAACATACTAACGACATACTACTAGTGAATCACTTTACTCAGTATAATAACGACATACTACAAAATGACTATACTCGTTATACGTTAGACATACTACAAGTGAATCACTTTATCCTGCAATCATCAATCAGCCAACTATTGCACAAATAGCATGTTCACACAAATAAATTTTTCTTTATTTGTACTTGTAAAGTATCTTGTTACTCCGCTTCAATGTTGAGCAAACGGTATATTTCTTTTTTTATTACAGTTCATTTATGGGGTTCTCTTCGCGGAACCCGTTTAAACTATGTCATTTTCTTTGAAAAATCAAAGACAACTATTTGGATTTAAACAACTAAACCTTATAATGACGGGTTTAAATTACAGGATAAAACAATACTCGCTACGAAACAGGAGGAGAAAAGCTCGGAGAGCCTCGCTTTTCGTCCTGTTTCTAAAGCTCATACAAACAAATTTTACATTTTCCGACAATGTACATAATATAACCTTCCAAATACCGTTTCGATTCCTAACATCACTGAAGAGACATTAATTGTCGAAATCCGGATATGGTGTACAAATATTTGCACCTCATGTTTGCGGTATACCATCTTTTCCACAAGTTTATTGTTTTCTGTTTGGTATTAAATTATAATAAAGTTCCATTTTGTTACATCTTGTGATCCGTTTATTTGGCAATCGCCAATGGCAGTCAGCAGGGTTTAAGAACATCCGTTGTTCGACCTGTTAGTCAAATGCGTGTTGTTTAAATATACTTTTTCACTTTTTTGGTCTTTTGGAAAACGTTGTTTGTGCTGTATTTAGACCCCTCTACCAAGAAATTTGTTTTGCATGCACACGTATAAAAATTGCGATTTTTTTCCAACGCAATCATAGGTTTGAACGTTGTTTTCAATTTAGACTTATTTATATTTTTTCGATTGGGCTTGTATTATATTTGCCTTCGGGTTTATATGATCCGTTCATCCTATTTCGACTCTTCAAAATTCAAGAGTCTATCCCAAATTAAGGTAAATTATATAGTCTTCCAAATACCGTTTCGATTCCTAACATCACTGAAGAGACATTAATTGTCGAAATCCGGATATGGTGTACAAATTTTTGTACCTCAGTCATGTTTGCGTTCTACCATCTTTTCCGCAAGTTTATTGTTTTCTGTTTGGTATTATATTATAATAAAGATCCATTTTGTTACATCTTGTGATCCGTTTATTTGGCAATCGCCAATGGCAGTCAGCAGGGTTTAAGAACATCCGTTGTTCGGCCTGTCAGTCAAATGCGTTTAGTTTGAATATACTTTTTCACTTTTTGGGTCTTTTGGAAAATGTTGTTTGTGCTGTATTTAGACCCCTCTACCAAGAAATTTGTTTTGCATGCACACGTATAAAAATTGCGATTTTTATCCAACGCAATCCTAGGTTTGAACGTTGTTTTCAATTTAGACTTACATATATTGTATATATATACTCTATATACGTTCGATATGCTACAAGTGAAACGCTATACTCTGTATGCGTCCGAAATACAACAAGTGAATCACTATACTCGATATACGTCCGACATACTTCAAGTGAATCACTATATTCGATATACGTTCGACATACTACAAGTGAATCACTTTACTCAGAATACTAACGACACACTAAAAGTGAATCAGTATACGTTCGACATACTACAAGTGAATCACTATTCTCGATATACGTCCGACACACTACAAGTGAATCACTTTATCCTGCAATCAGACAATTATTATACAAATAACATGTACATAAATAAATTTTTATACAAGTACAAATAAAGTATCTTGTTGCTCCGCTTTCATGTTGAGCAAACGGTAATGTGAATTTTTCTTTTGGATAGAAGTTCATTTTTGTGGTTTTCTTCGCGGTACCCGTGTAAACTATGTCATTTTCTATGAAAAATCAGAGACAAATATTTGGATTTAAACAACTGAACCTTAAAATGACGGGTTTAATAAACGGATTAAAACAATACTTGCTGCAAAACAGGAGAAAAGCTCGGTGAGCCTCGATTTTCGTTCTGTTTCTTAAACTCATACAATTTTCCGACAATGTACATATATTGTATATATATACTCTGTATACGGCCGACATACTATAAGTAAATCACTATATTCGTTATACATTTAACAAGCTGCACATGAATCACTATACTCGGTATACATTCAACATACTGCAAGTGGATCACGATAATCGGTATACTTTCAAGATACTGCAAGTCGATCACTGTAATCGGTAAACGTTCGACATACTACAAGTAAATCACTGTACTCGGTACACGTTCGACATACTGCAAGTGAATCACTATATTTGGTATACGTTCGACATAGTGCAAAGTAATCACTATATTTGGTATATGTTCGACATAGATCAAAGTAATCACTATATTCGGTATACGTTCGACATGCTACAAGTGAATCACTATATACGGTACACGTTCGACATACTGCAAGGGAATCACTATATTCGGTATACGTTCAACATGTTGCAGGTGAATTACTATACTCGGTATACGTCAAACATACTGCGAGTGAATCACTATACTCAGTATACGTTCGATTTACTACATCTGAATCACTATACTCGGTATACGTTTGACATACTGCAAGTGAATCACTTTTCTCGGTATACGTAAGACATTACAAGTGAATCACTATACTCGGTATACGTTAGACATATAACAAGTGAATCACTTTGGTATACGTACGACATACTACACGTGAATCACTATTCTCTGTATACGTTCGACATACTACAAGAGAATCATTATGGTATACGTTCGACATACTACAAGTGAATCACTTTACTCAGCATACTAACGACACACTACAAGTGAATCACTATTATCAGTATACGTTCGACATACTACAAGTGAATCACTATTCTCGATATACGTCCGACACACTACAAGTGAATCACTTTATCCTGCAATCAGACAATTATTGTACAAATAACATGTACATAAATAAATTTTTATACAATTACAAATAAAGTATCTTGTTGCTCCGCTTTCATGTTAAGCAAACGGTAATGTGAATTTTTCTTTTGGATAGAAGTTCATTATTGTGGTTCTCTTCGCGGTACCCGTGTAAACTATGTCATTTTCTATGAAAATTCAGAGACAACTATTTGGATTTAAACAACTGAACCTTAAAATGACGGGTTTAATAAACGGATTAAAACAGTACTTGCTGCAAAACAGGAGAAAAGCTCGGTGAGCCTCGATTTTCGTTCTGTTTCTAAAACTCATACAAATTTTCCGACAATGTACATATATTGTATATATATACTCAATATACGTTCGAGATGATACAAGTGAAACGCTATACTCTGTATACGTCCGACATACTATAAGTAAATCACTATATTCGTTATACATTTAACAAGCTTCACATGAATCACTATACTCGGTATACATTCAACATACTGCAAGTGGATCACGATAATCGGTATACTTTCAAGATACTGCAAGTCGATCACTGTAATCGGTAAACGTTCGACATACTACAAGTAAATCACTGTACTCGGTACACGTTCGACATACTGCAATTGAATCACTATATTCGGTATATGTTCGACAAAGTGCAAAGTAATCACTATATTTGGTATATGTTCGACATAGATCAAAGTAATCATTATATTCGGTATACGTTCGACATGCTACAAGTGAATCACTATATACGGTACACGTTCGACATACTGCAAGGGAATCACTATATTCGGTATACGTTCAACATGCTGCAGGTGAATAACTATACTCGGTATACGTCAAACATACTGCGAGTGAATCACTATACTCAGTATACGTTCGATATACTACATCTGAATCACTATACTCGGTATACGTTTGACATACTGCAAGTGAATCACTTTTCTCGGTATACGTAAGACATTACAAGTGAATCACTATACTCGGTATACGTTAGACATATAACAAGTGAATCACTTTGGTATACGTTCGACATACTACACGTGAAACACTATTTTGTGTATACGTTCGACATACTACAAGTGAATCATTATGGTATACGTTCGACATACTACACGTGAATCACTATTCTCTGTATACGTTCGACATACTACAAGTGAATCATTATGATATACGTTCGACATACTACACGTGAATCACTATTCTCTGTATACGTTCGACATACTACAAGTGAATCACTATGGTATACGTTAAAAATACAATTTAATCACTATATCTATTATACGTTCGACTTACTACTAGTGAATCACTATTCTCGGCATGCTTTAGTGCAAAACAAAGACAACCACCTATTTACACCGGTATGCACCAGATTTTTGGTCCATTGATTACGTCATTATCCTTTTTTACTTATGTAGTATTTTTCTAAGACAACACAACGACGACGATGATAGAGACATTGATTAAAATATTATATGTCTCCATTATTACTTTAACGATGAGTGAACAGCATATAACATAATGAAAATATTATTATTGTTTTGCAGTTGTTGGATTCATAGAATTCCAGATAGAAGTGATCATTGGTATCATACTGTGCATAATTGCCACCATTCTAATATTTGTGTATGCTAATGGACAGAAAGCTCACAGCTATCTTATGGCTCCTGTTATTTTGAACCTGATAGCAGGTAAGTTTTTGAATCGACTTATTAGTTGCAATCATGACATGAATCTACCTATAAGTTCTAACAATCGTCACCTGACTCACATAAAGCTCGTCATCGGCAGCAATCATTGTCAACTCAACATGTAATCTCATGCAATCATGGTCAGCTCAACTTGTAAGCTCGTGCAATCATGGTCAGCTCAACTTGTTAGCTCGTGCAATCATGGTCAACTAAACGTGTAAGCTCATGCAATCATTGTCAACTCAACTTGTAAGTTCGTACAAACGTTGTCAACTCAACGTGTAAGCTCATGCAATCATTGTCAACTCAACTTGTAAGCTCGTACAGTCATGGTCAACTCAACTTGTAAGCTCATGCAATCATTGTCAACTCAACTTGTAAACTCGTGCAATCATTGTCAACTCAACATGTAAGTTCATGCAATCATGGTCAGCTCAACTTGTAAGCTTATGCAATCATGGTCAACTCAACATGTAAGCTCATGCAATCATGGTCAGCTCAACTTGTAAACTCATGCAATCATTGTAATCTCAATTTGTAAGCTCGTGCAATCATGGTCAGCTCAATTTGTAAGCTCGTGCAATCACGGTCAACTCAACTTGTAAGCTCATGCAATCATGGTCAACTCAACTTGTAAGCGCATTCAATCATGGTCAACTCAAATTGTAAGCTCGTGCAATCATTGTCAACTCAACTTGTCAGCGCATTCAATCATGGTCAGCTCAACTTGTAAGCTCGTGCAATCATGGTCAGCTCAACTTGTAAGCTCGTGCAATCATGGTCAACTCAACTTGTAAGCTCATGCAATCATTGTCAACTCAACTTTTAAGCTCGTGCACTCATTGTCAACTCAACTTGTATGCTCATGCAATCATTGTCAACTCAACTCGTAAGCTCATGCAATCATTGTAATCTCAACATGTAAGCTCATGCAATCATGGTCAGCTCAACTTGTAAGCTCATTCAATCATTGTCAACTCAACTTGTAAGCACGTGCAATCATTGTCAACTAACTTGTAAGCTCGTACATTCATGGTCAACTCAACTTGTAAGCTCATGCAATTATGGTCAATTCAACTTGTAAGCTCATGCAATCATGGTCAGTTCAACTTGTAAGCTCATACAATAATCGTCAGCTCAACTTATCATTTCATGCATAATCACACTCTGGCTATTCATTGAACCTGTGAATAAAACCGACTTTCAGGTTTTCTCGTCATTACACGAAATAATGTTTCTTTTCGTATTAACAGAAGATATCTCTAGTAACAGACCAAAAGTGATTGTTTTGAAAAGGTGACGAGGTTAATTGTGTAAAATGTAGTGTGTAAGTTTCTTTTAATCTCCGAAATAGAGGTTCGAGTAACTGAACAATCGTATTCAATGTCCAAAAAAGAGACTTGAGTAACTGAAACATCGTGTGCAATGTCCAAATAAAAGATTCGAGTAACTGAACCATCGTGTTCAATATCCAATCAAGAGAGTCGAGTAACTGAACCATCGTGTTCAATGTCCAATCGAGAGAGTCGAGTAACTGAACCATCGTGATAAATGTTCAATTGAGCGAGTCGAGAAACTGAACCATCGTGTTCAATGTCCAATCGAGAGAGTCGAGTTACTGTATTGTCTTAGTGTAAATTTCCGAATGAAGTCAAGGAACATCGTTATCGGCCTCTATGTTTTTATTTCTTGGATGGCCTCTATATTGATAACATCGATGCAAGAACCATTTTCATCAATTCTAGCAGAATAAAGATTACTTCCGGTTCAAATTTTAAAATCTCATTACATAAATTCCCGCTCCTACACATTTCTCGCAATTTATGTTGTTCAAATTTACATTTCGAACATTTGCGTCAATTTATCATTTTTGAACAGTTTCATCAAAACAGAGGCTACACAGAAAAACTACATAACCTGTGATACATGGTTGAGTATTTAGGCATAACATTTATTCTGTTCAGGTATTGTTACATGGGTGGCAGTTGGTTAAATCATAACGATCTTTGTTTCATTCTATTTCAGGTATTGTTACATGGGTGGCAGTTGGGCGATTTTTACAAGCAGTTTTAATACTCGATCACGGATATGACATGGGAGTACCCTACTCCCTGATACTTAGTGGTCTGGGTGGAGTCATGTTATTCGTTATTATGGTCGTTCTTATTGTAAAGAAAACACAAGACAGTAATCAAATTCAAACACCACAAAGAATTGTCATGGCAGATACTTCAAAACCTCAAGTGAATATGGGTTATAGCCAGGATACACCATAGCAAAATGGAATTCCGCCAAAATATGGCGTATAAGATACTAAAAACCATGCATTTGTACATATATCATTCACATGTATTCAGATATGACACGTCAATGAAATAGTTTCTGTAAAATAGAGTACTGAGAGCAACAAATATCAAATAATGTACCTTTTTAAAAAAATAAAAAAATCATTCAAAACTGTTATTGTTGGAGTCTGTCATTTTTGAATTCATTTGATTACAAGTTCTGATCTGAGCCTGCTTCACACTAAAGATTAAACGAATAACAATCCTCCCTATACAATTTGACATTTACTTGACACTAATACAATCCTTCCCAATACAATTTGACTTTTGTGTACACTAGTACAATCCTCCCTATAAAACTTGACATTTACTTGACACCAGTACAATCCTCCCTATACAACTGGATTTTTACTTGACACCAGTACAATCCTCCCCTAAACAATCTGACATTTACTTGACACAAGCGCAATTCCCCCTAAACAAACTGACATTTACTTGACACTAGTACAATACTCCCCTAAACAATCTGACATTTACTTGACACTAGAACAATCCTCCCCTATACAATCTGACATTTACTTGACACAAGTACAATCCTCCCCTATACAATCTGACATTTCCTTGACACTAGCACAATTCTCCCCTAAACAATCTGACATTAACTTGACACTAGTACCCTCCCTATACAATTTGACATCAACTTGACACTAGTACAATCCTCCCCTATACATTCTGACATTTACTTAACACTAGTGCAATTCTCCCTTAAACAATCTGACATTTACTTGACACTGGTTCAATCCTCCCCTTCTCAATCAAACATTTACTTGACACTTGTACAACTTTCCCCTAAACAATCTGACATTTACTTGAAACTAAGTACAATTCCCCTATACAATCTGACATTTACTTGACACTAGTACAATCCTCCCCTATACAATCTGACATTTACTTGGCACTAGTACAATCTTCCCCTATACAATATGACAATTATTTGACACTAGTACAATCCTCACAAATACAATTTGACATTTACTTGACACTTGTACAATTCTCCCCTCAACAATCTGACATTAACTTGACACTAGTACAATCCTCCCCTAAACAATCTGACATTTACTTGACACTAGTAAAATCCTCCCTATACAACTTGACATTTACTTGAAACTAGTACAATCCTCCCCTAAACAATCTGACATTTACTTGACACTAATACAATCCTCCCCTAAAATATCTGACATTTACTTGACACTAGTACAATCCTCCCCTAAACAATCTGACATTTACTTGACACTAGCGCAATTCTCCCCAAAACAATCTGACATTTACTTGACACTTGTACAATCCTCCACTAAACAATCTGATATTTACTTGACACTAGTACAATTCTCCCCTAAACAATCTGACATTTACTTGACACTAGAACAGTCCTCCCCTATACAATCTGACATTTACTTGACACAAGTACAATCATCCCCTATACAATCTGACATTTCCTAGACACTAGCGCATTTTCCCCTAAACAATCTGACATTTACTTGACACTAGTACCCTTCCTATACAATTTGACATCGACTTGACACTAGTACAATCCTCCCCTATACAATCGGACATTTACTTAACACTAGTGCAATTCTCCCCTAAACAATCTGACATTTACTTGACACTAGTTTCATCCTCCCCTACTCAATCTAACATTTACTTGACACTAGTGCAATTCTCCCCTATACAATCTGACATTTACTTGAAACTTGTACAATTTTCCCCTAAACAATCTGACATTTACTTGACACTAGTACAATCCTCCCCTATACAATCTGACATTAACTTGGCACTAGTACAATCTTCCCCTAAACAATATGACAATTACTTGACACTAGTACAATCCTCACCAATACAATTTGACATTTACTTGACACTAGTACAATTCTCCCCTAAACAATCTGACATTTACTTGACACAAATACAATCCTCCCCTAAACAATCTGACATTTACTTGACATTAGTACAATCCTCCCCGTTACAATCTGACACCACCATTTACTTGACACTAGTACATTCCAAGTTAAAAAGTGACCATGGTTTACTGTTCTCAGAGGAACGAATATACTCGACATGTACAATTATGTAATTTCTAATCGTTGAAAACCATTCAAGATGTAATGAAAACAGAAATCGTTATTTTGATATTTGGTGGTCGTCATTATGATGTACAAAAACATCTTATTACTTACACAATCATACATTAAAAGAATGTTGACTACTGTTTGGAATCACCAAATATGGTTTGACTAGTGTTTGGAATCACCAAATATGGTTTGACTAGTGTTTGGAATCACCAAATAAGGTTTGAATAGTGTTTGGAATCACCAGATATAGCTTGACTAGTGTTTGGAATCACTAGCTATGGTTTGAAACAAGATGAAGTATTGATGTTTCTAACTATTTTTGGTTATCCATTCGACAAAATATTTTCTAAAGAAACGATGAAAAAACTCGAACCGGTGCTTATAGGCAGTTCTTAAACAGAGAATATCTGTCACAGCATATAAATCGTTAAAACAAGAACTTCTTGCTCATATGGGATAAACAAAGCTTTTGCTACATGTATTTCTCATATGAGGTAACCAAAGCTTTTGGTACATGTATTTCTCATATGGGGTAAGGGAGCTACCATCTGATTTTTATGGGGGGGGCTAGGATGAAAAATTTTGTCCTGCTTTTTTTTTTTAGTTGTAATCTCTGTCCTGCCTTTTTATTTTTTACTCTATTCGGTCCTGCCTTTTTTTTTACTAGTTTATCCTGATTTTTTTACACAAATTGTCATCCTGCCTTTTTTTTTACCAAGTTGCTCATCCTGCCTTTTTTTTTTTTCAAAACTCCTGTCCTGCCTATTTTTTTCAAATTTCATCCTAGCTTCCCCATAAAAATCAAATGGTAGCTCCCTAACCAAAGCTGTTTTCAAAAAAAAATCCGGTTGAACACTTTCAAATATGTTTAACGTTATTATTGGCTTATTTCTTGGTTTGAGATTGATAATCTGACTAGTTTGGTCTTGATTCTGTAATAATGGTCCAAAATTAATATACTAAGGTATAACAATGGTCCAAAATTAATATACTAAGGTATAACAATGGTCCAAAATTAACGTGAAGATCATACTAAGGTATAACAATGGTCCAAAATTAACGTGAAGACCATACTAAGGTATAACAATGGTCCAAAATTAACGTGAAGATCATACTAAGGTATAACAATGGTCCAAAATTAACGTGAAGATCATACTAAGGTATAACAATGGTCCAAAATTAACGTGAAGACCATACTAAGGTATAACAATGGTCCAAAATTAACGTGAAGACCATACTAAGGTATAACAATGGTCCAAAATTAACGTGAAGATCATACTAAGGTATAACAATGGTCCAAAATTAACGTGAAAATCATACTAAGGTATAACAATGGTCCAAAATTAACGTGAAGACCATACTAAGGTATAACAATGGTCCAAAATTAACGTGAAGACCATACTAAGGTATAACAATGGTCCAAAATTAACGTGAAAATCATACTAAGGTATAACAATGGTCCAAAATTAACGTAAAGACCATACTAAGGTATAACAATGGTCCAAAATTAACGTGAAAACCATACTAAGGTATAACAATGGTCCAAAATTAACGTGAAGATCATACTAAGGTATAACAATGGTCCAAAATTAACGTGAAAACCATACTAAGGTATAACAATGGTCCAAAATTAACGTGAAGATCATACTAAGGTATAACAATGGTCCAAAATTAACGTGAAGATCATACTAAGGTATAACAATGGTCCAAAATTAACGTGAAGATCATACTAAGGTATAACAATGGTCCAAAATTAACGTGAAGATCATACTAAGGTATAACAATGGTCCAAAATTAACGTGAAGACCATACTAAGGTATAACAATGGTCCGAAATTAACGTGAAGACCATACTAAGGTATAACAATGGTCCAAAATTAACGTAAAGACCATACTTAGGTATAACAATGGTTCAAAATTAACGTGAAGATCATACTAAGGTATAACAATGGTCCAAAATTAACGTGAAAATCATACTAAGGTATAACAATGGTCCAAAATTAACGTGAAAATCATACTAAGGTATAACAATGGTCCAAAATTAACGTGAAGATCATACTAAGGTATAACAATGGTCCAAAATTAACGTGAAAATCATACTAAGGTATAACAATGGTCCAAAATTAACGTGAAGATCATACTAAGGTATAACAATGGTCCAAAATTAACGTGAAGATCATACTAAGGTATAACAATGGTCCAAAATTAACGTGAAGATCATACTAAGGTATGATAAGACTTGTAAAATATTAACCTAAACAAACAATGAATACATAAAAGCAAAAAATACGAAAGATTGGAGATAAATAGGCTTCATTATAATGGGGAGTGTGGAGATAAATAGGCTTCATTATAATGGGGAGTGTGGAGATAAATAGGCTATATTATAATGGGAAGTGTGGAGATAGATAGGCTACATTATAATGGGAAGTGTGGAGATAAATAGGCTTCATTATAATGGGAAGTGTGGAGATAGATAGGCTACATTATAATGGCAAGTGTGGAGATAAATAGGCTATATTATAATGGGAAGTGTAGAAATAAATAGGCTACATTATACTGGGAAGTGTGGAGATAAATAGGCTACATTATAATGAGAAGTGTGGAGATAAATAGGCAACATTACAATGGGAAGTGTGGAGATAAATAGGCTTCATTATAATGGGAAGTGAGGAGATAAATAGACTTCATTATAATAGGAAGTGTAAAAAAAATAGGCTTCATTATAATGGGAAGTGTGGAAATAGATAGGGGCCATTATAATGGGGGTGAGGAGATAAATAGGCTACATTATAATGAGAAGTGTAGAAATAAATAGGCTATATTATAATGGGAAGTGTGGAGATAAATAGGCTTCATTATAATGGGAAGTGTGGAGATAGATAGGCTTCATTATAATGGGAAGTGTGGAGATAAATAGGCTACATTATAATGGGAAGTGTGGAGATAAATAGGCTATATTATAATGGGAAGTGTAGAAATAAATAGGCTACATTGTAATGGGAAGTGTGGAGATAAATAGGCTACATTATAATGGGAAGTGTGGAGATA